TATTTTTTTTTTTATTAATCACGTATTATTATATGTGACATTTAATTATATTCAAAAGATTTTCAAATTATTTTGCACGAATATATTCATTAAATAGTATTGTTCAAATAAAACCTAATTAAATATCTTTACAGTTCGAATTATCATATTAATTATTATTATTAAACCGAAAAATATAACTTAATGAAGTGTGCAATAAATTAAATATCAATTTTATATATATTTTTGTGTTTTTATTTTCAGATTTACCACCGATTCCACAAAATCTTCAGATAAGACAGCAAAAAAGTAATCTCATACATTTGACATGGCGAAATATTGGACAAGTATATCCTAATTTGTCTGTTAATAGTGACGTCAGATATTTAATCGAGGAACGTCATCTCCTCGGTCCACGTTATTTAGAATCAAGATTGAGTTCTTGGATAGTTAGGCATGTTTCTACGAAACCTCACGCAACTCTTCGGGGTAGATTGAAAACTGGTCATTGGTATCAATTTCGTGTTGCTGCTATCAATGGGAACGGTTCTAAAGGTTATTCTCAACCCTCGAGACCTTTCAAAACGAAAGGTAAATTCAAATGAAAATAATTTCCCTTTTTCTTTTTTTTTTTTTATTTAAACAAAATTTAAAAATTACGATTTAAATTGTTCCAAAACGATTCGCAAACTAATGAACGAATTACCAATTGAAATATTATTATTATATGTTAAGTATAGTTATGTTATTTATTTGATTTCTTATTGAACTTCATTTACAATCGATTATCGTGCACATTTCATCAAAATGAGAGAGTGAGTGAGAGAGAAAATTTTGTTTGCCCTTCTAACCCTTTCTCCTTATTTCAAAACCGGTTTTTATTTAAATTTCAAAAGTAGTAGACACATTGAGTAAGCTTGACTAATAATCTGAAAAATAATGATTTAATTTAAAATTGTTTTATTATATTTTGTTCTAATTATATATATATATATTTTTACCTGTACGAATGAAGGTAAATTCAAATCGATGTTTTCGCAAAAAGACAATTGACATTTCATTTTATTCGTAAACATGATTACTTTGAAATTTTGTTTAACCGGTAATTCGCATGAATACCATCCTCCGTGGAACGCGTCTTCGGTAAAGTTGGAACCCTACAAATAATACGATTAAATATTTTTCGAAATTCAATCAAATTAATGAACAAACAAAAATTGTTTATCCTACTAACAGCTTCGAGAAGTTCCTGTATGTAAAAACAAATCATATATATTTGTAATACAGCAACAATAGCGTAAGATATTATCACACATCCTTCCATGTTCACTGTCATGTTCTAAAAATACATAATTACAAATACAATTTATAATTTGTAATAATATTTACATATTATTCGCGTTATGTATATATATTTCGTAAAAAATTTCCTTTACAAATTTTTTATTCATTATTTTTTTTGTAATAAAATATAAATATGTGTGTGTGTGAAAATTTGATATATAAATAATATTTATATAAAATTAAACACACACATTTGTAATTTAATATATTTTTCATTCAAATTTTATGAAATATCGTGGTTTGTTTTTTTTTTAATTTAAAATCAAATGAAATCGTAGAAAAAGAAAAAATGATTTACCTCTACCAGCATGAAACTTAAAAAACAAAATCGTAATACACTATCCAAGTGTACGATACAAACGTTGAACGATATTATTTTTTTCAGCGTGTTAGTTGCCCTATCGAAAAAAAAAAAAAAAGAAGATTCCTATAACATTGTTTCATTAAAATATATTTATTCAATTGAATTGAAAATAAATTTATAATTACCGAACAACGATCGAATGATGATGCAACAATGAATTCAATTCTTTATCAATGTTTTCATATTTAACAGAATTATTATTATCCATTTGAAATATCCGACCCATTTGTATTCTCAAATATTTGTATTGTGACGTAAGTAAAAGTATCAAATTCAACGTGTATACATCCATACTGACTTTTTTAAAAATCAAATAACCAATACCAAAGATTTCTAATATAACACTGATGATAAAAATATTACGTGAAATAGGTTCGTTGGTTAAACTAATCGGTAAAACGTAATCCTCGTGTACGAATTGTTCTTTTTGATAAATCGTTATCAATGGCCTTGAAACCCATAGAACAGCCATACAAACTTCGGTCATCGTATAAAATTTTAATAATTTTTCTACCGGTCTTATATAAGTTAAAACAGTATTTTGAAATAATTCATTATCCAATGATAAAAGATAATCGTAATAATTGATCAATCGTTTTATTAAATGTCTTTGACTGTACATGTTTGATAAATTTAATAATATTTCACCACTGATTATCATATTACTCGTACTATTTCTCAATGCCGATTCCAAAGATACGCGAAATATACCATAAAAACATGCACAAATGTGTATCAATAATATTATCCATGTAAATGTAACGTAAACTTTTGTTAACAATGTTAATTCAGATTCTTTCGAATTCATTGGTAAAACATTTCCCGATAGTATATTAATTAATGCGTTCCATCGATTGATCTTACGAAAATTAATATTACTCATGGTATATATATATATATATATATATAATAAGAAAACGATTGAAATGACGATTGGTTGAATATTATTTCAATATGGTTCTTTACCTTCTTATAAGAACATTTCAAAAATTCGATTATTATTAATAATTCTTATCATTTTTCAAGAATAAGATTTCACATAAACACGTGTTACTATAGATTCATTTATTATTATCATTTTTCTATTGAAATATGCACGTTCAAATGATCGACAATTATCTTGAAACGTTTCAAACGTTCGAATGTTTAATTATTCAAAAATAAAGAAAAGAAAGTGAAGAAAAATGTCTCCGTTCTCGACAATCGTTGAATATTATATGTGTGAACGAAAAAAAAAAAAAAGAAACAAATGAAATGAAATGGTTAACAATAATTTCGCATAAATATAAAAAAAAAAGGTACATTTTAATCGATCGTACACGTCCTTTAATCGTTTATAACTTTACTCGATTATTATCGGATATTTTATTAATGAAAGATGAAAGGTTTGTCATTTAGTTTCCTTTGATATCATTATTATTGTTATTATTATACGTAAAAATCGATAGGGACAGGTTAAAGACTCCTCGTGTCGTCGGTAAAAAAAAAGATGAAACAATTTTCTTACTTCCAGAACCACGGAATCCTAAAGAACCACAGAACTTAACCCTGTCAGGAGCACGTTTGATTGGTGGCAAGTTAAGAATCAATCTTCGATGGGTTAAACCAACATCGGACGTTCCCATAACATTTTACAAAGTTTTTTGGAGTCGACGGATCAATAGTCCAACCAATGATTCTGTATTAGTTTTTCATAGGACTGTTAGAAAGGTATTTAACATAATTGCATAATTGCATAATTGCATACTTTCTTACTTTTTTTCTCTTTTTTTTTTTTTCTACAAATTTTTATTCGATGATAATCCCATTCAAATTTAAATTTCTATTGGAAATGTTAAGAGAAAAAATATTTCACTATATTCAATT